GGAAGAAGAACACAGGATCGCCCCTCTAAGCAGCAGCCGTTAGTCACTGGCCCAACTGAGGAGGACAAACTAATAGACCGGTTGTACTGACTTTGCAGTGCGACGACCGCTAGAAACACCACAAGTAGAGCCGAAACGGTAATCTGCGTTTACAATCGTAATGTCAATTATAATACACAAAGTATTGGCTTTTTGAAGTGGATTAAACGCCTGCAGAGAAATATATTGCTTTAATAAAACAGATTTAGAATTTATGAGTATAGACTCACTAGACATTATGTAATTTCAATAATGATTCACTCCTTTCAATTCATCTGCAGAACACATGAATGATGGTCATTCACATGCTTTTGAGTATTTGAGCGTTATGATTATTAACACCTGACAAAAACCTATTTAGATATTTACATTTATGTTGTATTTTTTCCGAATCATCCATATCATCGTTAGAGCATTTTGCCACATCCAAGGTGGGGTGCTCAAAAAACAAAAGCTTTAGATGATACAGGAAATGTCTGCGTGGTTGTCATTAATAGGCAATTTCTTCCTCAGCAAGAATCTACAGGAAAATTCCATAACTACCTCCTCCACAGAAGACACAAGACATGCAAGCTGTGTCCCAATTCATACGCCAGCAGAGCTGTCCTCCTTCAGATGTCGCAATGTTTGGAACACCTGATGAATCAGATATTTTAACTTTAAGTGCATCGCTAATTAATTAACTGGAGGATCAGAAGATACATCAGGGTACGAGTGTTTGTCAGCAAGGGCAGACGTACAAACGCACTCCTTCATTTCCAAACGGTCTCCACAGTGCGAGATGGATCACGTGACATTGTGCAGACACGACCCCGGTGGCTGACTAATTCAATAACTCTCAGAATTAGACATCATTTGTCTTTACTTTGAATGCCTTTCTTTGTCCCTGTTTGGCCTTCAACGTCACGCTGCAGCTCAGAACAGCCGTCCTAAACATCCACACCTCTGCACACTGATTCTTTTTTGACATTCATTCAATTAGATGTGTCTCGGATGCGTGAAAGTCTTTTTTGCAAAGTTTCAATATTGCATTTTGGAGCTATCCAATTTCCTGCCAATGTTTAAAAAGTGCCACAGAAGTAAGAGACTGTTTCATCGCATCACAATAAAAGATGAACAGGATTGTTCCAGTGCAGAAACAAACAGCTTTGTAGCCAGTTAGTCCGCACTAAACTAAAACTGAATTTTAACATGTGAGATTTAAGGCATATGTCTTTAATTCCACAAATCCTGTCTTGTATTGTTTTCCCACCCTCCCAGTCAGAATGTGCAGTACGTACCCGAGGTGCAAGCCTGCAGGGGGGCACATATGTTTGCACATTGTGTTTGTGTACATGCATCCCAGGTTTTGTTTACAGTACACACTTGGCCGCGGGCTTCGGGTCCCTGGATACGTCGAATGCTAGTCTTGTCTTGTTGCCGAGCCTCCACATGTGTATTTACCAGGTTTCTGATGATGTTTGGTATGCTAACGGGAAACAAATGCTTTTTGCAGAGATTTATTTGATAGTGATCCAAATACATTTTCCAGGGCCAGAAATAAAGAATTGGATTCTTACATCCCTCATTGGGTGTCTAAATGTAAATGTGGTATTCCCATATGCTTTTCTATAGAAATGTAATATTTTAGTAGTTTGAAATGATGTGTTCCACAATGTTGTTGTGTAAAATGAATAAGTACACCTATAAAACCTTTAAGAATAAATCTAACCACAGAGCAATGTGTAAGAACCATCTTTTCTACAATCTTCCTGCAGTCAAATTCTTCAAAGACATTCATGAGGAAAAGCCTTCAAGCATCACTCGCGGCCTTTTCATGATTGTTTTCTTCATTAAATGTAGACACCGAGGCTGTAAACTCTGCTGAGCCCGAGCCAGCACTTTGCAGCATAGAGAGCTCAGGGACAAGCATGTCTGCCTGTCATTTTCATACATTACTGCATATACGGCTATTTCAGAAGTTACTATTGTGCAATAAATTACCAGGTGGGTACAATTAAAATCCACCATGAGTGTGTTGATTTCATTACAGTTCAGGAGGTTTCTTTTCGAGACCCCGGTAGGTTTTAACTGATGGAGAGACGGTCTCCTCCTTTGGCTAATTGTGGCCTGATAAACCCTCTCCGTCCCAGTGGAACGACAGGGCGTATTACGAGCCCGACGGCTCCGTCTTAAATTACACTGAGCCCTGTGGCAGCCGCCAAAATCCCCCCAAAGTGGCCTGTTCATCTCAGGTCCACCAGACAGACTCAGAGTTCAGGTCATTCGATTTAAAACTATCCAAATACAGTGTCAGAGGTTTGCTGCTGCTCGTGTTTAGTGCGTTTTCAGAACATGGGCATGAATTATTTTAATAGATTTTACTGTATTTGTCTCCAGACAGAATGCTCCTTGTGATGATGAATCACATACTGAAGGTGATGGGGGGGGGTGGTGGGGGGTGGAATCCGGGCTCCATCCCCAAAAAGAACAATGCTGCGGCCACCACTCACCTGGGGCCAGTTTGAACTGGTTTTATTTTCCATACACCTGTTATTCCATTGAGTACTGTGGACTAAAAGTGTCGTAGTGTTTTTAAAACAGAAATATTATACTGCAGCAGAATAAATTAGACTCAGTACTGCAGCTTGCTATAAAGCCGTTGAGATGATATTTATAATGAATTAGACGAGTAATTCTGGCTTAACTATCGTCGAGATTGAAAATCATTATTGCAGTTCAGCTGCAGACACTCTGTAGCTAAGAGACATTTTTAATACCAGGTATAAATGTAATACGGATAATTCATATCTGAATACAATCTAGACACGAGGCGAATGATAATGCGTGCCGTAGGTCTCGCGGTGGCGCGCAGCCTCCTTGTGAGGAACGCTTCCTCGATCAATGAGACAATGTTAAAATACCTTTTATCTTCACGAATAGCCCGTTGCCCGCATTAAGTATCAATCGTTCATTTGATATTGGCCTTTGGCACCACCAGTAAATCCTCGTCTTCACAAAAGCAGCTGCCAGGTCTTAAACTCAACTTCAATAAACTCAATTTTCCCCGAGTGAGTGCTTGTTTGTAAATGCAAATAGACACAATCTGAGCACTGAGCTTCCACCGGGACCGACGATGTCTGAGCGATTTATGAATGGCTCAGATAACAGGCACGACAAAGGGAAGATAAAACGGGTCAATATATTTTCCTCTTGTGCTCTGACAATAATTCATCATCAGCACTGAGTAGCGGCGGCCATCTTAATGACACTTCACTCGAGTTGTTAACGCCGACACGTCCTGCTGCCACCGCCGGAGTGTCTGAGCATGCTCAGAGACCTCCGGCAGGGTGACTCTTAGATATGTCGGAAAGTCTGAAAACAGTGATAATTTATAAACAGGGCGAATTGCCGTTAAGGAGGTTTTTCCGCTTCTCCGAGTGGCGATTTGCGAAACGCGGCGATTTCTTCGAACCCATCGAGCTCTTCTACGCCATCTTCACTGCAAAACACGCGACCGCCATTGTGCTCCCAACACTTGTCCGTGCTTTCCTCCCCCTCACCCATTCACCTGCAAGGCTCACGTACTGGTCGATTGGGATGTACAATTTTAAACTACTAAACACGTTATGTTTTGTGGTTTTGTAGTTTATTCTATATTAAAAGTTACAAAGTCAAAGGCCTTTTTACCTTTTGAAGTTTGTGAGTTTCTTATTTACACATCCGCAGTAACGGAGCAAAATGTTCATTACATTGGATTTGGCCGGGCCACTTGATGAGTGTCTGATGTTCTACTCTCGCTCTACTTTTGGTCCCTACCAACTCCTGAAGGGAATGTGTGTCTCTAAGTCGTCCTCCACGTCCACCAGTCAGTCGCTGGTTGTGGTTTTTCGCCGTTTGGTTTGCGCCTGTTTTTCTTTGGCATCAGAAATCAATGCCGGAGCAATTTGAGTAAATCAACTTAGCAAAGTTGTGGTCTGCAAGCTCTATTGGTAGAACCTGCTACATCTCCATTGGCTTATAAAAATCTTGAGATGAGAAGATGTGTTTTCTGTGTCCTGGTCGCTCCCATTGGAGGGTGGATTGGTGGTGATTTCTAAAGAGTCGTCCTGTAATGCTGCATAATCAATTTGGGCGATTAACACATTATTATACCTCTGAACTTGGCGTGCTGTTTCGAGAGCTGTGCAAACGATCAGAGGCCGACTGCTGCTGCTGAGAGTGACGCCGGCTCTGCTGGTGATTCTGAGGTATGTGATGAATGACTTTCTCTAATACACAGAGACATTTCAGTGGCATGCAGAGTTTAAGTCCTCATATTTTGGCAACAAAGTGTACACGTTAAGGTGTACTGAATATCCTCACCTGTAATTATAGTCTGCACATATCCAGGCCTCATCATAGCGCAGAACAAGTATTGCGCCCTGTAGATTTGGGGGTGTAGCTCAGTGGTAGAGCATTTGACTGCAGATCAAGAGGTCCCTAGTTCTAATCTGGGTGCCCCCTCTTTAAAACATCTTCTGGGTCGATGTGGCAAGGGTAGAGAGGGTGCGCTGGGAACCGAAAGGTTGGTGGTTCGAGCCCTGGCTGCTCCTTGTCCCTTATTGAAGTGTCCCTGACCAAGACACCAACCCCTAATTGCTCCCCAGGCAAAAATGAAAAAAGCCATGGGTTCAAAATGCAATGTAAGGTCAGCTAAATAACCTGTAATGTAATACCGTACGTCATATTTATGCATATGTAAGAGGATGACACGCACACATTAATAATCACTTTCACTAAAAAACACAGTAATCATCATTGTTTGATTTAAGCTGCTTTTATGTTGATATGTTGAATACACTTAAAATATGCATCGCTCCGTAGAAAACCAGCAGGGTGCAGACATGAGCTTTCTGTAAAATATAATCTCTAACAAAACATCCTGAGATGGAGTTTTATAGTGAACTTTACGAAACGTTTCACAACGTAATAAACCCTCGTACATCCCAGCACTGCGGTCCCGATCTCTGCGCGCAGCGGCACGAATGAGGGGCCGCAGATTTCCACGCAACTACTTCTGATGACGGAATCTGACGTTTTCTACCCCTACTTGTGCACGCAGAGAGGGAAAAAGCGGGTGTACACACTAGTTGTGCCGTGTGGCTCTACGGCGCTCCAGCTCAGATGAGCTCACTCGGCCGACGCGCACATCGCCGGATTCCACCAATCTGAGGAGGCGCGAGGACGGCGAGCGGCAGCCTGGTGCGCAGCGATGAGTGGAGGCTTTTGTGCAAAGGCTGCGGACTTTCTGCTGCACAAAGTCAGAGGATGTAGAAATGATCATCCCCTCGTTCGAGAGACGCAGTGGATTTAAGCTCGCCTGGATGGATGTGAATGTACTCTTGGATCGCAGACTGGGCTGGACTTCGGGCTGAGGAGAAAAAAGGGACGACTTTAAAAACACTCTGCTGTTATTTCTCTTCGTTTTCTTCCCTCCCTTTGTTTGGGAAATGCCAGGGTTCGGTCCATCATTTTCTGTCCAGATGAAGGCAGGGTGCTCTTTTGGAAGGGCGCCAGATCTCCAGCCTCTCAAATCTGCAAGTTCAGTCCAATAAACTGTGACATTGTCTGTCAGCCTTGGAATAAGAAATCGATCCTCAAAGAAAAAAGGACGCGTTATTCTTCCGGAATCTCAACGCTCGGTTCCCCCGCAATCCTTAAACAAATATGCGGTTTGGTTGGATTGGGTTGGTTTGTTCCAGCTTCTGGCTTTTCGTAGCTGGAGCAGCGCTGATAGTGACTGATTATTGCTGTTGATTTTGCTCCATGCAAGACTCGGGGTGGAAACATGTCTGGCCACTTTGAGAGGATCACTGCTATCAGAGATGGCATTTTGGTCCAGCACTTCGGTTTTCACCTCTAAAGTGCCCCGGAAAATCTTATTCATGTTCACCCTCTCCCTCTCTGTCACCTACTTGTTCTACAGCTTGATGAGCTGCTACAACTCGCTGCAGTTCCCTCTGCAAGAGAACTACGCGTATCAGGGGAGGCTGGTGACGGAGGAGACAACTTTGGTGACACTGAGGGAGAAACTTTACTCCTCTTCCCAGGGATTCACGGAAATCACCGGGGCGGGAGGACCCGCCGGGGAGGACCATGCCGAGGCCGAGGAGAGGACCGTGGAGTGGATTAGGACCCAGGCGTCTCCGACCAAATCGGCCGCCACGGCGGCGGCGGCGTATCGCACCGGCGCGCCGGGGAAGGAGCGCCGGGATTTCAGCACCACGGACAGCGACCTGCGGGTGAACTGCACCACGGATTACGGAGAGAAGAAACTTCCCCAAGCCATCATCATCGGGGTGAAGAAGGGGGGCACCCGAGCCCTGCTGGAGGCTCTCAGGGTGCACCCGGACGTCAGAGCCGTTGGAAACGAGCCACATTTCTTTGACAGGAACTACGAGAAGGGTCTGGACTGGTACCGGTGAGTTCAGTCTTATTTAGCCGCAGGGTTTCTTGGGGGGGAATTGTGTTTTTACTACTCGGTTTATGACAAACTGCATTCACTAAGAAGCTGATGCCTGTGTGATTTATTTCTAAAGGGAATTTTGCTTGGTGGTAAAAGGAAAAAAAAGTCAATTTGCTCAGATTGGTGGGCAATCAATCACCGTGATGTATTCCTATTCTCACCAGACATAATGAGTCAATGTACTTTTAGCCTTACGATTTTATTACAAGCTTTTTTAGGTTCTGATTGAAATAAACTGAACCCCTTTGTTCAATGCATTAAACTAGGTCTGCTAGTTTACCCCTTCATCTTTTATTTAAACTGAATGAACGCTTGAAGAACAGCTTTTAAAAGTTCTGAAATTGGAAACTTTTCAATATTCTGACATTGGCTATAATCTTGTGTTAAGAATCTGAGAGCATTATGTATTTAGATTGTACCTCAAAGGGTGTGTTTTACACCCATAACACATCCTTAAGCCTTACTGATCAGGTGTCTATCATGTAAGCTTGAAACGTTGAAAGCATTTACACACTATTGGACACAACAAGTTTGTTTTCGTCTAACCTTTAAACTGTTGTTTCTTTCAACCCAAATCACACCCTGTTTGAGATTGTAGGTTCATATTTAGAAAAGACATGAAATACACACAGGGAATCGTTCATTTAAAATATTATATCACATTTTAGAAATTGTCTTGTTAATATTCCTTCAGGTTTAGAATCCCTTACACTGTTATCCACAGTCAATCACATGTTAATATATAACAGTTTTTAAATGCTTTAAACACACAAGTCAGCCAGTATTATTATTTATTTTATTTCCATCAGAACATTTCTAAATAACTAATAATCCTTTAAATGCTGTATTATCTGAACAACCTTTTTGAACTTTGAAGACAATTGCTCGAAAAGGAGCTTGAGTCCTTAGCTTATCACCCCTTTCCAGGCGCATGTGTGATCGTTGACATTCAGTCCAGGTCTATTAGTCAGAGAAGAACCTGTTCATCATTGAGAAAAACAAATCAATTCCAGGGTTCGTTCATGGCCAGTTGGTCATGGCAGTTAGGCGCTGTTCTCACGACGTTTGACCAAGGGCATTTCAAGATTCCTCTAATGGAGTCAATGAGCTGACGAGAAGGACGATGACTCAAAGTCCCCTCTGTTTCTGTTACGCTGGTGTTTGGGTTTACGGAGCATCTGCTTTCATCTTGCTGCGTAGACACGGGAGCTCTCGGCTGATCATTTCGCCTGTGTTAACGCAAGCTGTTTCATTACACTCGCGGTGAAAGGCTCATTAGACAGGAGGATGACATGCTTACATGAATAATAATAAGTCTGCTTGTGTGTTTAAGGGCCCCTGAGCAAAATAAACTCCTAAAGCAGTTTTTGTTTTATATCTGCCGTTTGTTACCTCAAAATGACGCGTTCACGGAGGAGAGAAAAACATCGACGGCCGATGTTTAAATGATTTGAGCCAAACAAACAACGGTATCGACGTTCATTCAGACCACGTTTGTTTGTTTGCCTCTAAATGATGCATTATACTGCATCTCTCTTCTCTGTCTGCTCGGGGCTAATGTGGACTTAATGGAAGTGGAATTATGATCACTTACAGATGCTTGCAGCCGTTTGACATTGGTGTAGTTGAACGAGACCAGTAATCTGGTAGAATGTGATTCATAAATTCGGACGTGTCGCAGTAACACCTGCTCTACATTATAACTGGTGTGATGGACTACGGGGAAATGCAACCCAAAGGCATCTTAAGGGTGCTTACATGCACTCAAATGCTCCTTGGACTGCTTCTCAGCACAGCGAACACAAGGATGTCTGTGTCTTACTGCTGGTGATACTTATCCTCTCACATCTTGAGGTTTAGGAGGTATTTTGTGTTGTTATTCTTTGTGTGTGTTACTTTGCGGTTGCTCTCTGACTTTGCTCTCAGGAAAAAAAAAAAAAGCTCCACTGAGTTTTTGTGGTGTGAATCGAAGGACCTCGAAGACATGAAGTGAAAACACCCACTGTGGATACATTCAGTGAGAACTGGAGCGTTTTCCCACTGGAGGTATTGTATGGTCGACTGCAGGTTGTGGTTAAGGGTCCACTTTGAGGCTGTGAGATGCTTTAATATCAGCTTTCAGCTCAATCCTGAAGATTCAGCTGCCACCTCTTGGTTCACTTTGACAAAGAATTGTTGCGATTACGTTGGCAATGCCTGAGAGTCGTGAGTCAGTGATAGTCATAGAAAACGGAATTACGAGCTCCTTTATGTAGGCAGCAGTGCTGCCGCCCTCTTGTTCCTCAGCCCCTGCGTTGGGCCACCAGGCCCTCGCTGCAGCAAATACAGGCAGTAGCATCACGTTTAAAGGCTGTAAGTGTTTGACATAAATGATGAACCCCCCAATAATTGCACTATATCAATTTGGGGAAAAACTGCATCGTTAGCTCTGCTAACGCAGTCATTACCGTTAGCATCGAACCGTCGCCATGTTGAGAGCCTTATAGAGGCAACAAAGATCCTTCATGTGCGTACAGTGTCTCTGAAGAAAAAGCACATTCTTGATTTTAAAGTTCACATTACTCATTTTGTTTTGTGTTGTAGCAACACGCGCCAAAGTAACTCAAGTAAACTCAGCATTGATTTCAATCTGTTTAGTATTGCTTAAGGTGATATCTCCTGGATGAGACACAAAGAAGATTCCAGCCGTCTGTAGGACCACAGACTGCACCGATCCAGCACGTAGCTAACATTCACATCAGGATTTTAAATTAGCAGTTTAGTATGAGACGAGCACAGCGTGGTGATTTGTGCTGCTCTCCTGTTTTTATCGCTCTCAGACAGTTTCTCTGGTGTGTTTTGGGCTTACTTGAACAAGCAATTAGCAATGTAGTGACATCATTACCGTACACACAGGACTTTCATCAGCAAATTGGCGCTTCTATTTCCGAATAAAGAGAACGAGCCACCACCGCGAGGATTTAACTTATTTGTCCTCTTGAGGAAGCCCCAACTGGGTGAAAAACGCCCATTCTGGAATATCAAACATTCTATGCTCGATGGACAATATGGCGAACTGCACTGAAGCTCCCTGCCAGCATTCACGGGCTTCAGTGGAAGGATATTGCCCCTCATAAATAGAATAGAATAACGGTATTGATTATCCATCTTATATGAAGATCCATGAGCAGGAATCCGCACTAGATGGGGACCGGCTTAACGTGAGCTTGACTGCTTGGTATTTTAAGCAATTTTATAAAATGCCAAACCAATAGTGTTTATATTAATGCTGGAAAAATGTATTTGAAAAACACCAACTGGTAGAGCAAGAAGCCAGAACCAACTAAATTAAGTTTACCATTATCTGTGACAGGTAGATTAACACGGATTGATCAATTACAATTAAAACTATTTAAGCAGTTTTAAGTATGTAAGATGTTTTTCTGTATTAATTCATAACATGATAATGAGAAATCAACTGGGTAAATTAGCAAATTCATTAAAGTTTGTGCAGAATATCATTTTTAATTTTTGGGCATATGAAATCTGAACAATCGAAGAAAAAAAAATCAAAAATCGTAACGCTAATTACTCAATAGCGTAATGCTGAAAGATTACGGACGTGCAAATCAAGTACATGAGTAAAGTCATTGATTTCCATCCAAACAATGCTCTTATCAGAAGAGTTTCTTGCGTTTTGAGACTCGATCGGTGATTCTCTTCAAATTTCGTGTGATTGCTAGGAAGACATTTTATTGAAATACAGTATATAGCTCATATTAGCCTTCAAGCCTGAATAACACCAAATGAAGTTGTCTTTCAGCGAGTGTAAAATCTGCCTGACGCGGTTTCAGTTAGCATATGACTTGTAATAACTTAAACATTATGTCCATCTAAACCACTGCTTTTCTTTGTTATTTGACCCAAAAACCCTTTGTGTGCACGTGTTGCCTTTGTCCATCAGTGTCCTCAACCTGGCAACAAGACGGGGGACGGGGGGGCGTTTGCAATACCCATTTTAATTGCTATCTGTCAGTGTTACCCGTCGCTCCTTTAACTGGCGGATTAAGAACGGCACTACGGCGCGGTTCAAAATAAAACCTTTTTTGAAATGTGTCCAGTTGTCTGATTTATATTCCTTTCTGTTGAGGAGTGTTTGACCGGTTGAAACGATTCAGCCGGAGGAACGAGCCTTCTCATCTGCTGAGGCTCAGCGGAATCCCGCTCTGCATTGATATGTGAACCTGACAGTCAGCAAGTGCGAGCAGTTACATCAGTCCTCCTCACAAGGATTACCGATGGCTTCTCTTCATCCTCAAAGAACCCGGCCACGAGCACTTTTGTGTCGAGAAGTATGCTGTTTGATAATGGAATTACCGTGTAAATATGTAATGTTGTACCATTTATGACCAAAAGCTACGATTGGTGTTAATGCAGAAGTAGATCTAAATTTTACGCTTCATTGGTATCTATTACTACCACAGGTGCAAAAGTTGAACTGATATGAACAAATCAGTACAAAGATCTCAAAATGCTCTGTGCAATTGATCACAAATAAAATACGCCTGTGAAACAGATATTAAATGTCAAATAACTTTTTCTCGAGAATCTCAACTAGAGAACTCTTATGCAAAAGCAACAATATAGTTGCAGAATAATAAGTTGCCGATGAGAAAAATGAACTTGTAGAAACTTCTTGGGTCCACTTTATATCACATATTTGTGTCATGATGATGGGGCCGGATACACACCCAACATTTTCCAATAATTGTCCAAAAGCCATGAATCAAACTTCTCTCGTAAAGTGTCTCACTATGAGACACAACAGGATTCAGTTAAGAAAAAAGACCACATAAGACACGTGTCCCCGTGTGTAAAAGGAGTGTAGGTCCCGCGTTTCAAACCACAAATAGCGCCCTAATTAAGTTACCGTCCCGTCAGCCGGCTGCTGACGCTCCACAGATGCCACCTGCCGT